ACAAACTCTTACCTTGAACTAAAATCTTACTATAACGGAGAAAGATGGAGGAAGAAGAGAGAAATGAAGAAGAAGAAGAAGAAGATGAAGATATAGGAATGGAACCCAAGTCCAAAACACTTAAAAACCTTAAAATTTCTCAATGATAAAATTACACTTTTAGTCCTTTGTATATTATCTCATATTCAAAAATCCTATTTTTGTGGCTAATTGGGCCTAAATTCAACCCAATTAAACCCTACAACTTAAATAATGAAATCTGCGGGATCCACTTACATCTCGGGTAAACCCAAAACTAATAACCCGAAAATTAGAGTATTACACATCTTGCCCAGCACCGTTAAACCAGCAGCATTTTGCACAACCAATCCACAAGGACGGTATACGAGGGTTAAAAACCCATCCCTTCTCTAGCCGCAGTAGGACTAAGGCTTTGCCCAATAAAATGTTCACATTTTGTGTTCATTTATTAATAGTTTCTACGAGTAACTGTAGAAACAGTGGCTTTCGAAGCAGCAGCAAAAACCAAATGGACTGCTCCTGCTGTAGCATTAAATTTCATAAGTCTAAAAGCCGAAAGGTCTAGATTTCTAAGCCTTCCTAAATTTTGATATACGCGATTAATCATTTGAAACCACACAAAATTCAATACTTCCAATCATGAGGACCACAGCCCAACAGTTTCCACTTCCCACAAGGAAGATGTTAAAAAGGAACCCACTGACGTAACCATGCATTAGGAAACCTGGAATTGCTTGATTAGTATTCAAGATTTCAAGACTACTTCGGCGTGTGGATCATATCATGCCCTCTGAGTAGATATCTAAGAATATAATATATGTGAGAAAAATATATGTTCTATTAGCGACACTATTAGAGCTTTGTTTATAGTTCTGTAATACGAGAATTTGTCTTATCAAGTAAACAAAATTATACAAATGAAACCCAAGTATAAAAAAACATCAATCCAAATTCCACATACTAAGGACCTCCTAATAAAACATACCATCCAATCATATTCAACATCCTGCAAATCATCATCTTTCCCTGTCACTCTTACTCAAAAATTGACACAGGATCTCGAAAGTAAATATTATTGAACAACTTCAAAAGAACTAAATTTAGCCATACGAGTGGATGACGGGTAAATTTGCTATTCAATTATTTAATATGACAGGAAGTGGCACTCTTACTGAAAAACCGACACAGAATATCATAAATGAACTATATCTGTTGACATTCAGCTGCACAAAGATAAGTTTATCCCCACACGTCTCACCAAACAGCTATGCCAGGCAAAAAAAACACTTTGGAATGTTTTTAAGAAGCTAAATCTCCAATTTCCAACTTCCTGCATCCATGAGGTACTAAATTCTAGATTCTAGAATTAACTTGATCAAAGTTACCAAAAAATATTGAAAAATATTCCCGACAACTCCACATCTTTTTCACAGATTAAATGCGGATGTGTTAACCGTTCCAAGACCTCACAAGTTACATCACCGGTCAATATAGTTCGGCCCTAATGGTAGGATCTCCGCTACAAGCACTAATTTTCTCAATAGAAGAGAATAAACATAAACACTAGTCTTTAAATGGAGTATATTTTACAAGTTGCCAAATAATAAAGGGAAGAAAAGTCCAGACTCAAAAATTGGCGGAATATCTTACTGTATATTTTGCTGAGTACAAAAGGAGGATCGAAGATTATATTTATTCAAGCATCTACTATAATGGGTGGGCTCTGTTTTGGGATCTAATCCCCACCACTTGATAGATTCACATTTTATAAAGCCTCAGTTCTTGTGACACTCGATTCTTGTCCATCAAAGCTTTACTTGAGCAAGCGAATAATATCTTATTATGCTCCCACAAAAGAAAAAAAATGGCCAACTTGCACAACCCCCACCAGTTTTGTTCTTTATAAGGACCTACCATTACAATTTCCTAACCGTACCATCCCCTTGACTCGGGCATCGATCTCTTCTTCCTTTCCTACCTTGTTTCCCTTTGTTAGTTACTCTCCCCTTAAGATCTAACCCTGAAAATACTTGCATTCCCGCTCTCCAACTTTTCATCACCTTCACAACGAACTCAACTCAACTTTCATCATATTCTTGTTTCTTTTTATATTCATCCCCTAAGTAAAAAAAAATGGCATCGTCTGTTAGTTTTTCACGTGATTCCATTTCCTACTGGACTCCAATGCAAAACAAGCTATTTGAAAGGGCACTGGCTATATATGACAAGGACACCCCAGACCGTTGGCAAAAGGTGGCTGCGGCTGTGGGTGAGAAATCGGTGGGGGAAGTAAGGAAGCACTATGAGATCCTGGTGAGGGATCTCATGTATATTGAATCCGGTCAAATCCCGGTACCCAATTACAGAAGCTCTGGGGAGTGACAGAAGAAGAATTGCTGCGGTGCAAAAGGTAGTGTTTTGGCAATTATATCCCATCTCTCCCACTTATTTACTCTTTTCTACTTGACATGTTTTTCTCATTAAATAAACTAGAAAAATCACAATATTCACAATTTGACTTCCTCTGAAGCCAAAGGCTATGTGACAGCCGTGGAGTAAAACATTTTAAAGAGGCAATAGGAATATGAAGAATCTGAGAAAACTTACTTTTATTCAACTTGGACAAGAGTGGTCAATGGTTGTAGTTTCAAGAGGACACCCCCAACATGAAACATGAACGTACCCTCGAGCTCCAAAAACACTACATATAATAATAGTAATAAACTATATGAGGGGTTTCTCTTTTTCTTTCCTTCCTAATTACTTTCGTGACTCCCTCCTCCCCTTTTTGGCTACATTGGAAATAGCTTAAGGAATGTTATCCAGTATTTTTCCCGGGATCCATAGTAAGATATTCAAATATTTAACCTCATGCATGACTTTTCCCCCACATGAAATCTAATCCCTAGTTGGTAGAGCACAAGGTTCTTAATCTTGAGGTCGTGGGATCGAGTCCCACGGAGGGCATTTCATAATTCGGAGGTCTCTTACGGAAGCTGCTCTCAATCTGGTGTTGGGGGTAGCCTACTATCTTACCTCCCCTTACCCCATATATACATGGGAAAAAGGGACAGCCATGTTTTCTAACATGCCGTGCGTTCACCTTTCCCTCTCTGGTTGATAAAGTTCAGATATTCATCAAATACTTTATTATACTCCGTACCCTATTTCAACTTTTCCCCCACATGAAATCTAATCCTTTCGTTTAGATCACGTGCATATGGCCGTATGTCTAAGTCTTATACATAAATTATAATTCAAAGAGCCTGAAATCCATTATCAAAAATAAATAAGTTAGCCTGTGCTTCTGGTATTCATGTGTGACAACCCATTTTTTAAACCATAAATTACAGATTTCTTTATAACCCTTTTATCAGAAATCCCAAGGGAATGCCAATTACATCAGCTAAAAACAATTAATTTTAATAATCTAACAGAAACAGGCATATTTGTTCATGCTCCTCTTATTTATTAATCTAATTTTCTATTTGTACCTTTAAATCCTCCGCAGGTGTATGAAGAATCTAAAGCTCCAACGAAGCACAAGTTTCAGCTGTACTGTCAGAGAATCTGTATAAAGTAAAATAAAAAAAAGACTTAAAATATAAGGAAATGTGGAATTTGCATCGTGATTCTACCTATCTTATTTAACATTGAGTGATCGAGTCAGTTTGTTCATATAACAACAAAGGTGAACTCTATAATTATAAGGCTTTTGAGTACTGTACTGAAGTTTCAAGATTTAAATAAAAAGAAAAAAAATATTAGTATTACAAGTTAAAACTAAATGTTCTGTGCTTTCTCTATAGAATCAATGTTACTAATCTTGTTTGTTTTCAAATAAGTACAATAAGTTAAGCAATCGTCTAATCAACAGAGAAGCATAAAGTTTTCTTTCCCCCTGGAAATAACAATAACTAATCAAACCGGTTAATGAGAAGCAGGGAAACGTTCCTTCATTAAACGTAATTTGATTTCGATTCTATTGCATCGTTATCACTGGGAATTTAAAGAATAAAACATAAAATTGTAATAATTATTAAATAAACTGACGGAAATGAGAAGCAGCATGACATCTTACCTATTTTAAATTCAGCCTCCAAAACTGTACACTTAATTTGAAGCGAGAATGTCCTCTTTTTATTTTGTCTGGGGAGAATGTATTATTTTTCTTTTTTTAAGATTAAAGAGATTTTTTAATGAGACACTCTCTTTATGGTATATACAAGTAGAAGTAGAAAAGGCATTTTTCAAAATTTTAAAATGTGTAGTATTAACTGATTCAGATGTAACTTTATAGGGTACCAGAATTTGAATAATATTGTATCATAATTGACGTAAACTTGTAAACGTCAGAATAATGTAATATACTGAAATAAACCAGGTAGACGAACCGTTGGAGAAAATTGTTTTCTTTTTTCTTGTTTAAGCATGCAACCAAAGTTGTCACAGCCTCAGAAAGCCTACGTATTGTCCAGTTCAAGATTGGTTTTCGGTGGAACTGGTATGCATTATTTTGTTGAAAGTTGAGCCATGAGATAGTTCCAAAGTGCGAATACCCAAGAGCTCGTTCGTTTATATAATTAGGCAGGTTCATAACAAATACAATAGACCAAAAGGTATATTGAAATTGGGCCCCAACAAAAGGGTCAAAAATTCGATCAAGCCATGACCCTACTCGTCATTTTTCATTTTGGTTGGGCTTAGGCCAGATTCAACTAGCAAGAACTAATAGCTACATGACCCGATGGAACAGTTGCACAATAACAGCCTGCGTGCTGTGAAATTCACCATTTCAATCAGCATTAAGTTGAAAAACGAGGCACCATTATTTGCCCGTCTTCAAATCTCTTCGCTTTCAGAAATAATGGGGTAGAGAAATAGTGAGAAAGAAAGAAATAACGATGCATAATTTAAAGCGATACAAATAAATACATGGGAACAGTTCTGAATTCAAAGACATAACGGTGGTCTACAGCGAAGAATCATACAAGAAGAGCTCTTACTCAGGTGGTTGCTTCTTCACGTTCTTGTTATTATGCATCCAAACCTTGAAAACCTGTCTTTTCACCCCGTACTCGGCACAAAAGTTTTGCACTAACTCTTCGTCTTGCTTGTTGATCCTCCAACCCACTTTCTCGGCTAACTCCAACATCTTATCCTTCTGCTCCTGCGTAAATTTTGTGCGGAATCTCTTCTTTGACAATACGCAAGAGGGTGGCGGCTGCGTTCCCTCAGCGTTGGATTGGAACACGTGAAGATCCTCGCTTGAAGATTCGTTCCCTCCGCCGCCGCTTCCAAACGCCATATTGTTCATCGACGCAACCAGTGCGCTTGATGGACTTGTATGGATTGAATAATTTTGATGAGGGTGCATCACGGTTGGGGGTGGCAACTGAAGTGGGTGAAGCATTAAACTTCGGGTGGGAGTAGCCCAGAATTGGGTCTCTCCATCAACCTCCTTGCGATGGAAGTTGCGGTGACAGTCACAGGCAGCACATTTCAAGGCCTCCAGGGTTCCTTCTTCACCACTAGGCATGAACTCGCCGCAGCCATCGTAAACGTTCCCTCCGATGTTGGCCGCGTGGTTCTTGAGACACTCTCGATATCTGATGAGGCTGGAAGGCTTTGTGTTTGAGCTTACCGAAATGGGTGCAACAGCTGCACTAGTGGCGGTAGCCACTGGATCCGAGTGCGGAGATCTACCTTGAACGATTGATTGCTGTCTCTGGATACGATGAACATGGTCTAGGGTTTGAGTGCAAGTAAGAGCAGCCGTACCATTATGATTCCCATCTCGTTGATGACCAAAGGGAGAAGACCCTGTCGGTTTAAACTCATGTTCTTGGCCTCTCACTTCCATACTTAAAGAAGAAATCGTTGAAAAGATAAAACAATGTAAACCTTTTTATGATAATTTATTCAAACTATACAAGCTTAGCTCACTACTGACTCTACTAAAACTGCATGTTTTATCCCGTGATTTCGTGAAACGTTTCAAAAGAGATGATGCAAGTGCGTTGCTTATCTGGTTGGTTTCCCTTATCCTCCTCTAGAGATATTCACTTATCCAGCATTATGTTATCGAAATCCTCAGACCCATACCGCAAATTTCAACGAGCTGAGAGAGAAAGAGACATGTTACGGAAATAAATGGATATGAATGAGAAATTAGCACTCAAAACAAAAAACAAAAACATTAAAGTGTAATGGGACCAAACTCAGACTTTTGAGGAAGAGAGGAGCAAACGGCGGAGTCAGTCAGGCAACCACTTTTACGCCTTTAACAGCTACCACACCATGTAAGCATCTCTAACTAGCAAGGGGAAAACCAAGATAACGGAGAAAGGAAACGAGGTAGATTTGGGCTTTGTGTTTGATTTTAGGGTTAAGGATTTGGTGTGTTGGCTTTTGTGCTCTCAATAAGCCAACTATATATATCCTAACAAGAGACAGCTTGGTTGCTTGGGGTGAGGCCGGGCAAATTTCAGAATCTGTTCTCTAAAAGTGAGAGGATTTATGATGAGATTAATGTTGCGTTTAAAAAATTTATTTTTATGCTTTGTTCGGGAGTATTTATTCTATAATAATCTTTTACAATTCCTTTTATAAATTCAGCCGAGTATTCCTTTTATGATGAGATTAAAATACTTTTAATAAATTTATTATACAATTCTAACAATTATTTTTGGTATATATAATTATTTTTAATTTGATATTAGAGTTTAATTTATTAAAAATATATCTAATAAAAAATTATGAATAATTTTATATAATTAAATATTATAATATAAAATTTTAACAATAAATAGATTGCATATTATTATATTTTGAATAATATATCACCAATAAATAAAATAATTTAACATTGTAAATATTTTATTTCTAAACATAACATTATATTACGTGAACTAAATGTTTCCAAGTAGTTTTCTTTAAATAAAAAAAACAACCGACAACGTCATGTTCATCCCTCTTCCACGCCCTGCCACTATTGGGTCCCACGCTTACCTCCATTATTGACTTCCTTCCATCTTTCCTACTAGTTCTTATCTTTAACCCACTTGATTCCCCAAATGACCGAGCATATACTTCATAGTCCTTTTATTAAAAAAAAAAGAAAAAAGATAGTTCATAGTCCTTGATGCGACGTAGCTTCGTTTCCTCCATAATCCTCGACTTTCTTCATAAAAACTGGTTTACAGAAACTAACAAGCACTCCATTACAGGCTAAAAGTTGGGTTTTAACTGTAGCTACAGATTCAAAGTAAAAAAGAAGAGAAGAAAAGAAAAGTGTGGGGATGGTCCACAGTGGAGTTGTGGTCCTGTTGGTGGGTGAATGGATTTCAAAACCTAATGTGTTCATTTCTGCAACTCTCTGGCTCTGCCAAATAAACCACGCATGCCCCCAAGCAATCTCTTTACCTTTCCGTGGTGCAATCGATGCCTTCATTTGTCTTTCTGCGCTTTGCCATGTTGTAGTCTTTTGGGTGCAGTGCAGTTCAGCCAATGGCATCACCAATACAAGAATCCTCCTTATTCACCCAGTGCCCTTATCACGACAGCCTAGGGGTGAGACAATGAGTACAAAAATACTAGTTGGATTGGATACATGATACTATTTGAATTTTACAGTTCTAGGTGAATTTTTCTGAAAATTCATTATTTGAATTGATTTTAAATTTAATTGAGATGGTGATAAATATCGGCATAATTAAAGAATATTATAGAAAATGAAAAAATAATAATAATAAATATTTGTCCTGAATGATAAGAGACGGTGATTATAAACAGTTCAATTGGTGGTGGGTTGAGAGTCAGTATTCAATCATCTATGTTTTCCTTTATGGGTTTTTGATTATGGGGTACCTTTCCTTCTCTGTTGCAATTAGTTGAAGTTTTTTCATGTCTAATTTTCATTCCGGTTATGATTAACAGTTAAATGTACGTGATGGAAATTTGCAGAGCTGGAAAATTGACAAATTACCAAATATTAAAGAGGTGTATGTATGATGCAGCTAAATGTTAAAATAAAGGCCATTTGCCTTGTCATTTTTTGTCATACTTTCTTGTCGAATTATTGCAGTCTTTGCAGAGGGATGTGAATTCGGTTTTACTTCCTGCAATTGACAATGATAAAAGACTTTCAGGTTTTGTTTCTTTAAATCTTTTTTCATATAACACCCAAAATAGATATATTACATACTAAGCCATGCGAATGCAACGAGCCATATACGTGGCTCGCCAGTCGTAGCCATACAGATTAACCTCCTTGCTCGATGATCACAAAGAAAATGATGCAAAGAGGAGCTTAAGAACAACTCTTTTACACTATAGCGGTGGCACAGTACACAAAAACACACACAACATCCTTGTGTTGGACTCTAAATGGATTCACAATCGAGACACCCATGAACGACCAGTTGGGGCACTTGAGAGTGAATAAACAACCGCTTTTTTCTCTTCAACTATCACTCCTCTCCCTTCTTCCCCCTCTGTTTCTTACCCTTCTTTGTCCACCATGACTTGATTGTAATAACCCACCACTGTTATCAAACTTGATTTCCATTAAAACATTCGTTTCGCCTCTCACAATTTAGCCAACCCCCTTTGGATTTTACCTGAAGTTGTTTTCGGAACACTTGCAATTTTTACAAGAACTACCTTCCCTATGTCAACTTTTTCGTTTTTATAAACATTTTCCCTGATTCTCTCACTTATATTCCTCAAAATCTTAGTATCTTTTTCACTCCTCTGCATTTCTGCGACAAGAACGGTCATTCTTGAAGCATCAAATGCAGCTAGACAGCCTCCTCCTATAACTGTGGGCAGCTATTATAAGCAGCAGTCTCTATGTTATGAGGGTGTATCTCCTGACCGTTTGGGAGTTGAATCATCTCTACGCAACGACCTGTTACGTAGAGAAATCTTTCTTCCCCTTTGACAATTCCTCTGTCCCCGGTTCGGACGTAACACCGGTTGACCTTGTTGCTAAGTTTACCTTTGAATATGTCTTGAGTTAATAAAGGATGGCCTAAGTAACCCTTGCTCGGAGACGAAACCCAAATCTCGCCTTCAATTCCATCATTAACAGGTTCATGTGTGTGCTCATTTACAACAATAATGTTCATTTCCTCTTCGTCTTCATCACTGGCAAGTCTTGCACTAGGTAAGAGCTTGTTATGAGAGGGAAAAACCGGGGAACATGAGTTTTGAGAGTTGTCATTATTGTTTCTCCATGCCGTGGAAACGAAAGTGCAATTCTCTGCTATGCTGTAAGAAGGGGAGATGGACTATGGGTTAAGTCCAAAAGGCTTGAACACACAAAGAAATTCTCCATAGATCAATAGGTGAGCTTCCTGTTTCGACTCCACCGCGTTTCACGACTAGTGGCAGTGTGAATGATGGAACAGGGGTACAAGTTGCCTTGAACTCTGTCATGTGCTCGAGCCAGATTCTAGGCCGGTTAACGAAAGCCATGGGTGATGTCAACACGCATGTTGCACCAGATACACTGGTCAATAACATAAACATCAGGCCACAATCATGGTACTGATGTAACCAAAAGACAATATCAGTTCCGGGATGTAAATCATAAGCTTTCCTCGCTGTTCTAACATTGTGAGCCGCTGATCCGGCCGTCAGAAGCACTGGCTTAGGAGCCCGGTTGCACCCGAGGTGTACTGAATCAAGTAAGTTTCATGGTGTTTGCAACCATTATAAAGCATGGAATCCTCGCCTGAATCTGCATTTCTACGTTTGATATCTTCAGTACGAATCCATTTCAGATTTGTAACATCTCAGCAAGCCTCTTGTCCTTGGAGGGCAAAGAGAGATATTGCTCAACTTTTGTGATATAATCATGATGCGCAATTGCAGCTTTCGGCTTTGTCTAGGAGACAGCTCTGAGTAGGTGGCCATAGTTTTGTTTGGAGAAAGAAGGGTGTGGTGGGAACATTGGCACGCTCAAAAGGCCGGCTCTTTGACACCCGAAATTAATCTCAACGAGCTCTAGTCCGGGCCAGCATAAAATGAGTACAATGTCACCCCTTTGTAATGAGTGGAGTAGCTGAAAGGAAATGGACTGAACTGGGTCGTTGAGCTGAGCATATGCAAGTGTTGAGCCCTTTCTTACATTGGCGGACCCATCTTCGGACCAGATGAATGCTGGCTTGGACCAAAAGACTGGTAGGCTAGCCCATATGGGGAGGTATAGGTCAAAAACGGGTTGGTCAGGGTGTTAGTCATCGAGTAGATTAATTCCGTAGATAAAATTTTCAAATTTAAAAATAAAATATAGTTAGGGGCTAGAGCCTCTAACAACCAGTAGATTAATTCCGTCCTAGTTATAATCGAGTGGTTTAGTATGAAAAAATATCAACTTCAACATAAATAAAACTATCATTTATTAATATTTGATTAATTCTCACGTACTATTTGTTTGGGTGTTAGTCATCATTTCATACATAAGAAGATATTGTTATTAAAATAGATAGTAAGGGTCTTCACAAACAAAAAACATCATACACTTTACAAATTCCTGGCAGTGTGTTGCTAGGTTAATATAGCTTTCTCCCCATGGAGGAGCCAATTAAAAATCGTCAGGGACTGGAACATTAAATTATTTAAGAAAAATATCAAGATTTATTAGGTTTTTAAACTCGAAATTCAGCATGAACCTAACGATCTTAGTAATTAAAGAATTGTTGTTATCCTTGAAGTCCCGAGTTCAAGCACGTATATAAGGGTATAAGCGTTCACTGTTAAATAGTTGAAAATATTTGTACATATATTACTTTTTATTCACACTAAATTAAAAATAAAAAAAACTCAAAACTCAAAACTCAAAACTTAAAAGATAAATTATAATTTGTCTAA